GATAAAAACCTTTTATTCAAAAGGAAAAAAAAAAAAAAAAACACAAAAAAAACCAAAAGTGTTTATTCCACATACACAAGCGTCTATGGAGCTACAATCACAATCTAAAGTTCTGTACACATGAGAGTCGGGATTGCGTATGTCATCGGTGCTTGTAAATACTAATAAATAGGAGTCCATAGAGGGGCCCGTGTCCTGTCCCAGATCGGAGGGCTTCCCGGCTAAATGGCTTTGCTTTAAAATCAGAGACAGACTGGAGGTAGAGTTCCGCCTGTAGAACCTAATGGCCCGAGCGCACCGAGTACCCAGCACTTTTCCTACACACAAAGGGAACCGCTAGCCGACTATTGCTCTGCCAGATGTGGAAAGCCTTCTGTCCCCATAATGGCATTTCCCGAGGAGACGTCTGCCACAAACCCGGCTCCGAGACACTCAGTTCCCTTCCCCTTCAGATTCGGATTCTGGAACGGAAAACAATGCATTCCATTTTTTTATGCAATCTGTAGACAGAAAATGTAGCAACACAGAAAAAAAAAGCACTTTCATCCACTTTGATCAGTGTTATTTTTTTTAATAAAATATCTTATTGTAGATAAAAGTATCAAGCTTACAAAATAATATTTGCTGTAGATAAAAAGTATAAATGTATAGAAATTTATATATTAGAAATGTATATATTAGAAATATATTATTAATATAATTTCTCCTTTTTACAATGACGCTAAAATTATTGATTCTGGTACAAAATATTGCAAAATGAATTACCTTTGAAATAAAGTGTTTTAAAAAAAATATATTTTTGCACTTTTTTAGTATGACACTAAAATAAAAAAATGAGCAAAACTAGGAGGACGCTAGTTTGTGTCCTCCCGTTACCCTAAGGAGAACTATGGGGAAAAGCCTTAACCCCATAGTTCTCCTTTAATTAGGGCTGATCAGGTTAGACTAAAGGCTAATAAGAGGTTAATATAAACTATTTTTTTGTGTGGGCCGTAGTACTGGAGGTGAGCACCAATCACATGTAGGGTGGAAGCCACTGGACCACCAGTGAAAGATATTGAAGAGGCATAGCCGACCGCTGGTGCACTGGGACCACCCCTTCCTGTGGTCCTCCACCCTCATGGGAGTGCTGTCTATTTCCTTTGTTGGAGCTTCCTGCTTGTGTAGCCTTACTGTTTCAATGGGAACGTCTTTATCTTGAAGAAGCCATCTAGGCGAAATGCGTTGAGATATTAACCACTTCCAGCACCGCTCACAGTTATACAACTTCCCTGTCCAATCACAGACTATTGCATAACTGGATACTAACGTTCAGACCGGTATTTGGTGTCAGTGGTTTACAGCAGATATTTGCAACCAAGTCTCTTCGCATTGGTTTTATTGTTATGTCCTGTATATAGATGTATATTATTCGTTAATGTGCAGAAATAAAAAATAGTTTAAATTAATAATTTTTTTAAAGCATCTTAAAAATTCTACCCCTGCTTCTATTGGTTCATTTGCTTGATTGGAGGGTGTGGTGCTCACCTCTAGGACTCGGTTTAAGAGACTTACCTGCAGATGGACTCCTGCTCAAAAAACGTGCACAAGTATGTAATCCATTGCCCAAAGTTCTTGAAAAACGCGCCTTAGCATGTGAACGTGCACGTACAGGAACATTTATGCGCAATAGCGCACGTACGTGAGCGTGCAGAAACGTGCTCATTAGCGCGCACACTATACTATTTAAACAGACATGAAGCCATGACCAAGTTGCTGAGTGGTCTTCAGCTTGTCCCTGTGAGCCCTGTACTCTGTTCCTGTATCCTGATGTCCTGTGTATGAACCTGGCTTGTGACCATTTGACTCCGCCTCCTCCTCCTGATTCGGCACCTCTGCTCTCTGATCTGCTGTGTATAACCCCGGCTTACGTTTCCTGGCCCTGCTCCTGATCTGTGATTTGGCACCTCAAGATTCGGCTCCCTTTGTATGGCCTCGGCTTGAACCTGACTTCCCTCCTGGTCTGCCACTTGGTGGATCAGCATCCTGAGCAAGGACATCCAGCCAGTGCTCCGTTGGCCTCATACCCATTGCCTGCTCTGGTTTCAAGAGGTCTCGGTGTCATCCCGGTCCTGCCCATTCACCAGCTGGTCCAACGCACTCAAACGCCTCCTTAAGAACCGGCCAGCCACCAGTATCGGCACCTGTGCTCCGCTCTGTCCTTACATCCCCCGTCACTACTTCCAGAAGTGTGGGACTAGAGGTGCGCGGGCAGCCCCCTTCTCAGCTGAGTCTCCAGTCAGGTACGTGATACTCTGGCCCATTCTGTCTGAGTGAACATATTTTATTACAAAAAGTAACAATGTTACTTTGTGTCTGTGAAGGTTCTCATTCCTCCAGGTCATGGTATATTGTTACTTTGTATCGCTCCGTCTCCCTCTGAACAAGCTTTATAAATGCTGCTGTGTCAGACGTCCATCTTTTTACAGCAGCAGCTTCTATATTTACACAGCAACTCCCGGCTGTCAATTTGACAGCTAGGAATTGCCGCAAGTGCAAGGAGGAGGGACGCAGAGTGGAAGAAGAACAGGACATACCATACGCATTATGTGTACGTTGATGAAGTCTTGATCATTTATTTTTTGGGATGCGTGTACATCTAGTGTCCACAACTGGTTAAAAGCACGTCTCTTACGCACAGTCATGCACTTAATGCATGCATTTTTTAAAAATGGTGCAAGGCTTCTAGAAATTCCAAGGAGGTCCCCACCACACTCCTTACTGGTATGTCCCTTTTTAAGGTGGGTGCTACAGTGAGGTTGGATGGCGCCACTTCAACTCCAAGTAGTAAAATACATCACCAGCACACCAAAGTAAAATCTTCAACGAGTGGTCATTTTATTCATGTACACACATCTCGTCATAAAGCAAAGTTTCGGGGCCACATAGGGACCCTTCCTTTGTCATGCCTGATGAAGGGTCCCTAAGTGGCCCCGAAGCGTTACTTTCTGATGAGATGTGTGTACATTAAAGGAGAACTATGGGGTTAAGGCTTTTCCCCATAGTTCTCCTTAGGGTAACGGGAGGACACAAACTAGCGTCCTCCCGTCACCCTAAGCTCAGTATACTGAGACGCTGCAGCTGAAGCGAATCCCGACAATTGTGCCGGGATCCGCCCAGCTGCGTGACTGACAGCTGGCTCTGCCTATCTAGAGGCAGAGCCAGCTGTACCCGCCCCCTCCCCCGTCCGTTCCTCCTGTCAGCGCTGGCGGAGCGGGGAGGGGGGAATCCAGCCCCTCCCCTGTCATGGCAGAGAGCTGTGACAGGATCGAGAGGTGAGCGAACGCCGGTATGTGTTCGCTCACCTCCCGATCTACTGAGCCGACCTGTGACAGTCTCATTGTCACAGGTCGGCTAGAACTATGAGGTGAGTGAAAAGCACTCACCTCATAGTTCTCCTTTAATAAAATGACCGCTCATTGAATATTTTACTTTGGTGTGCTGGTGATGTATTTTACTACTAGACTTCTAGAAATGTTACAAAGTTCCTGAGAAAACATAAAAGAAAGCGCTGTGAAAAGCACAACTGGCAATACATGGGATGACATGGGGGAGGCTTTAACAACGCAACCTTTCATTACCTTCCTCTGCGTTTTGCAGCCACTCCACAAACTTCTTCATCTGATCAAGAAAGATGCTTTTGCCCTTGGCCAGGTGCGCTTCCTTGTACCACTTCAATATGGCTTCTTCCCCCAGCACATCGGCTGCAAGACAGGACAGCATTTAGCTCGATGGTGCAGTTTAATAAGAAACACATTTCAACTTTTAAAACCTATATACTAAAATTCATACACATGTAAGTAAGTACATATTGAACCGCTGTGCAGTAATACAAATCACACCGCTCTGCCAGACTGTGATAGGCGGCTGAGCGGTGTGGGAGGAGAGACGGCGGCCGCTCACAGCGCTCTCGTCCTACAGGGCCCGGCCGGCTGTCACTTTCTTTTCTCTCCGCTGGAACACAGAGCAGCGCCCAACGGTGAGGAAAGGAACCTGGGATGTGCCGATGCATTATGCCAAAAGTGCCATTTTCGGCCGATATGTTTCGGCGGCCGATATATCGGTGCATCCCTAAAAGTGACTAAAATGAAGGGATTTTCTTTAGATCTTTTCAATTCTCTTTTAATAAGCAATTTAGCAATGCCGCCATTAACTTGACAACAATTCTCATTTGCTTGCCTAAATAATTTTTACAATCTTTTAATACTGAATCACACTTTACAAGCTGAAGCCTCCTGGCTGCAGCTGACACAGTACCTTTCTTTGGTGCCAAAATGAGCCTGCGGGCTTGTTTGTAAATAAACTCATGGCTATTACCATCTCCTAGCCTTCATGGCTATTACCATCTCCTAGCCTTCATGGCTATTACCATCTCCTAGCCTTCATGGTGATTACCATCTCCTAGCCAGACTGGGATTTGAAATGGGGACCCCCCAGTGCCTCTGAGCTGCCCCTAATGACGGCGTTCAGCTTTTATTCTCTACAATCAGCTGTTTCCCCAGTTCAGAGTCGTGTTGGTGGAGGCGATCATAGTGCAAAACTCAAAAGCAGCCGCCATCTACCTTTGTAGAAGAGGACAACAATCTTCTGGAAGGCTTTCATGAAGTGGATGTTGTCGTAGCAGTACTCCTGAATCTTCTGAACCAGCACAAGCTCTGATTGGCCTTGTGTGCTGAAAACGGCCAGCAGTGGAGCGTATTGCTGCAAGACAAAGAGCTATGTGAGCATCTATCCCATAATGCAATGGGGCTACTTGTTTCCTGTATTACATAGCCAAGTAAAAAAAAGTGTGCGTATAAAATGGGTGACGTTCAGGTCTGGTCAGATATCTGCGAGGATGTTTAAATGTGATATTTCGTAACAAATGGAACTGCTGCACTATGCTGGTCTGCTCTTCTATACTTCTATACCGACTAAAAGAATCTAAAAGCCAGTGTCCTGCACAACTAAGGGGGTTATTCACTAAAGAGCCTATTGCACACCACACCATTTTTTTACTTCCACCGCTCCAAGCTTGCTCCTGTGATGGACTACAACCTCAATACAAACAAGTAGTCCCATCACTGGAGCCATTTTTTAAATGTATTTTATTGTTTATCCGATTAACCGATTAATCGAACTCAATAATCGGCTAACTAATCGATTTTGAAAATAATCGTTAGCTGCAGCTCTAGCCGAAGGATCCAGTCATAGCTTCGGCTGATCCTTCGGCTCTCTTCGGCCGCCGTAGCCCTTCGGTACGGTCGAACCGAAGGGCTGCTGTACCACAATAGCTATTCACAATAACCCGTACAGCAGCCGAAGGCGGTTGAGCAGCTCAGCCGAGCCGAAGGCATATGCTTCATGAAGTGACAGCCGAAGCACGGAGAAAGGTCAGCCGAAGGGCCGACCTTTCTCCACGCAAATAACAGCTGGGCGGAGTCAGCCGTGATCTCACGGCTGGCTCCGCCCAGTTGTAATGACAGATCAGCACCCCCAAATGACCTGGGGACGCTGATCTGACATTAAACAATAACTGGGCGGTTATTGCCGCCGAGTTGTTATTTATTGGCCTGGACCTGCTAGAAGACTCTGGCAGGTGCCAGCCAATAGGAAACAGTTAGGCGGAGCTAGCGGTGATGCCACCACTAGCTCCGCCCAATTATTTTCATTTTGCCGTCATCTGTCAGGTGCTCCATTATGCGGCGGGAGTTCGTCATGCGCAGTCGGGTCGGCGTGCGTCGTTTTTTACATTATTTTTAAAAAAAAATTCTTTCAAATGTTTTCGTTTTCCTATTATTAAAAATTTTTAAATAATTTCTCAACATTTTTCTTTTTTATTTAACTTTTTTACTATTCTGCTCACTACCTCGGAGGCACCGAGCAGAATAGCCGACCAGAATGCCGCTCGGAGGCATTCGGCTATTCTCTTACTGCCGTTTGGCCCCTATGAGAATAGGGTCGAATGGCAGCGAGTGAGCTGCCAGAGCTTCGGCTCAGCCAATCCAGATGTTAGATCGGCTAAGTCTAACTCCTTCTGCACTTCGGCTCAGCCGAACACGCAGAGCATGTTCAGCTGACCAAAGGCAGCAGATGTAGGGCTGATTTTAGCTGATGTATGGCTGAAATCAGCCCTACAAGGCTGAAGTGAATAGCCAAACAACGTTCGGCTCACTTCACTTCGGCTCGGTTACTCACCCGGATGCCTTTGGCAGCGAAGTGCATAACCCCCTAAATGTCTCCCGTTGCCTTCAGTAGTTCCTTCCCCCAACCACCAGGACACAGGAGTGACGTAGGGGGGGTCAGAGAAGGGAACCATGGCATGCACCGGGGGGGGCCAAGGAACACTAGAGGTGAGTATAATGGTTCTTCTTTGGCCTTGGATCTTTTTAGGTGACTGATAGAGCCCATTTATTCTAGTTGTACACGTCGGCAGGGTCATCACAACAAACAGCGATCTTACTGACACATATGGCAACTTACCATACGAAGACACATAAGATACCCCCACCTTCAAATGCTTCAGAGCCTGTTCTGCAACCAGCTCCTCCTTCTTGTTCCACTCTACGGCGTTCATCACGCAGGTCCACAGGAGCCCGATCACCGCGTGTTCGGCTAATTCGTTCCGTTTCATTTCTTCTTTTAAGTAGAGCACTATCTGCGAACAGCGAGACAATCCAAGCAAATGATGAGCAAACCGAGAGGAATTCTGGGATGTTACTATAAGGTTATAAAGACTTTAAAATTACACCCAACTCCCAAAACCTGTGAACTGAGATTGCATTGGGGTGGAGGGGGGCTTTCTTCTAAATGGCTTTGATTTGTATCTTGCGAAATCGGATCAAATAGCTCTGCAACCCTGAGGTTTCTTAATGTGTCTATTTTATATTACTGATATCAGTGGCGTCACAAGGGGGGTGCGGCCCGCACCTGAGTGACACCATTGGAGGGGTGACACCAAAATTACTTGCAGTCATTTTGGTGTCCCCCTCCTCTGAAAAGTCGGGCGCTTGGTCATGGACCGAACGCCCGACAGTATCAGGAGAGAGGAGGGGACCCGGCGGCATACCTTATCCCGCCGGGTGGCTGTCTCCTCCTCTCTCTGCCGGCGTCCATCACCAAGATGGCCACCGGCAGGTATCAGAATACAGTCGATGGCGTCATCGCGCACATGCCTGGTGACGTCATCGCGCACACGCCTGTAACGTCACGCGCAATGCGCGGTGACGTCTCGGCGGGGTGACACTTGGACACTCGGGCTTAAATTCAGCAGAATGACAAAATCAACGGGGTTTATTGTCAGCAAATACAAGATTCGGCTCAGCGCCTGTATACCAAGTCCCACCTCAGGGTTAGAGTCCCAGCCTGCTCACAGAGGGTTCCGGTATAGACACAGGTGCCCTAGCAGTGTCTCGGTAGACGGTATTCCACAGCTTATCACGCACAGCCATGTGTCCTGCTACAACACTCCTCACAGACACAGGCTGACTGGCTTCCTGTTCCTTTTCAACACACCCGCTGGCGGGTGGGTTAATCCTTTCATTACCATAACTGGCTGTAGTCAGGGATGGAGGCTCTGTCCTACCCAAAAATCTCTCTGAGCCTCTGTATTCCGGAACCCATGTATATTTAACAACTCTGGGAAGACTGCCTAGCAGTTCCCCTTACAAGTCCGACCCGGAACCCCTCACCCTGCTTGGCAAGAACCCTGAATACAGGGTGACCTTAAT